TTTTATTAAAAGATTTATTTGAACATACATTAATGAAGACAACATGTTAAGTAAAATATAATGAATATGTAGTATAGTACATCTGTTTAGCAAAATGCTCCTCTTTAGAGTTATTTTTTATTTTTTTTTATTTTTAGTAGACAAAAACAGTTTTGAAAAGTGTGAGTTGACAAAAAGAATGTGATCTATTTTTTGTTGCCAAAATTTCATTGCATCTGCATTGTTTTTTCTGAAGTTTCAGCAAATATATAAAAACAAATCTTTTTTTTTCTCCCCTTTTAGTTATCTACAGTACAAAACTCTATCGTTTCTTCAAGTACATTGAAAACCGTGATGTAGCCAAATCAGTTTTAAAAGAGCGAGGACTGAAGAAAATTCGACTGGGTATCGAAGGTCAGAATCCTTTGTCTTTCGTACTATTTTTACAACATTGCATATTCGAATGAATAGGTACAATCTCATTTTAACAATTTAAAGGGATAGTTTACCCAAAAAATTTTATTCTCTGAAGTAGCAATGAATCAAATATGGCAACAGTTATCAGGTTTGACGTTTTTGTTTATTCGAAGATGTTTTGTTATTGTATTCAAATATAACATTATATTGACATGTATAAAAACTAGGGATGTGCGGGTCTAGTCGACTAAACGGTACAGCTCCTACTAGTCGACACTGAAAACAATAGTCGATTACACGACAAAAGAAAAGAAAAACATGATTTTATCATTACCATAATTTTAACATTGCATTTAAAACATTTTAAATAAGTTAAAATAAAACGTTTGAAAAATAATACATTATTTGTAAAAGTTTATCTGGGCGGAAACTAAATTTTTACCTCAGACCTCACATGCGTTTTCTTCGTGTCAGTTGCGGCGAGTTCAACATTTTTTTATTTTTAACGACTGCCTAAAATGAAATGATGATAACGCGAGGCAAGTGTGCGGCAAGTGGAATTCATTGAGGGATTTGACAGTGTGATTCATATTTTAAGTATTTCAAATATAGGCTATTATATATGCTGCACGCACAGAGGGTTTTTTTTTCTTACCGTCTTCTGGGGGTTTCTTGCTTTTAGACTAGTCGACTAGTCGGATACAAAACTTTAGTTTAAACAACAGTCAAATTAGTCGTCGCGCACATCCCTAATAAAAACGTATTATTTGTATATCTGATGGCCGAAATGTACTAATAGCCAATGAGATGCACACAAATTTGATAAAATGAAATGATCACTTTTTTCACAACATTTACTTAAAATGCATTACAAATTTGAAGTCAGAAATGGTCTGCTATACATTCACAAAGCAGAGTCCGTAGAACTGGGTCTAGACGTAATGGCCAAATATTTGCCGATCAGTCTTCCTCTAGACGAAAGGTGCCATATTTGATTTGAAAGCTACAAGGAAGGGCAAGGTTTAGCATGAGGGTAAATATAATGACACAATTTTAATGAACTTTTCCTTGATGGTTATGACCCACATCAGAAGATCCCAACTTTTGAATATCAAATCTGCATCTGTAGGTTATCCAACATACAAAGAGAAAGTGAAAAAGCGCCCCGGCGGCCGACCTGAAGTCATCTACAACTACGTCCAAAGACCGTTCATCCGCATGTCCTGGGAGAAGGAGGAAGGCAAGAGTCGACACGTGGACTTCCAGTGCGTGAAGAGCAAGTCCATCACGAACCTGGCAGCGGCTGCGGCAGACATTCCCCAGGACCAGCTTGTGGTGATGAACCCTGGACCACAAGTGGATGAACTGGACATTCTTCCCAACCACCCTCCCCCCGGCCACCACTACAGCAACGAGCCTGACCCCGACGCCCCCTCGCCTGCCGTCTGAGAGCAGACGCCCCTTCACAGCATGCTGCAGCATGAACCAGAGTGACACTATAACCAGATTGCCTTCTGCACCTCCTCCACAGCCTTAGAGCCTCAACTGTATAGTTACTGTATTTAAAAAGAAAAAACAACATCATGGACTTGGGATACTGGCATGGGCAGTGCTCTCCTGTTCCGTCTTCGCTGTTCTTTTTTTTTTTTTTTACTTGACCAAAGGAAATTTATTTTTGTTTGTTTGAAATGAAGTTAACAACCTCGCTTATTTTGTAATTGGGCCTGTTACATCATTATAATTATTACTATTGTTCTTTTCCATTTTACTATATTATTACTGCAATGAGGTGAATTATTATAATTTTGAAGTTATTTACACTTGATGCATTTGGGTTTGGTGCCACTTCTTCTTTTGGAAAGCTCTCCCCTTGATCTCCTCAAACTCCTGTGTCTCCTCGGGAGGTCCATTTGCCTGGTGAATGAATGCCGTGTTTTTCTTAGATCGACATTAATTTATCTGCTCAAGTTCTGTCTGTTCAAGCGCTTGAAAATCATCGTATTAATAAAGATATATATAATGTAATGTACAGTGATTGTCACATGTGAAGTTTGATTTTTAGTTGCTTTTGGTGTTTCACTGATGCCAAAGCTTATAATAGAAACGCTTATGATTGTGTAACATGGGACAAACATAGTTCAAGTTACAGAATAGATGCAGAGGATTTGAGAACTAAAATACATTGCAATACAATTAGCTAGAGCCATTTTACTATCTGTACACTTTTGCACAACACTTCAAAATTAAGTTTGGGAATACTTGGTATTCAGTGATCTATTTGATTTGATATGTGTGTAGAGAACAATGTCAAAACCAATTCCTTGGTTGTTGGTGCCAGACGGGCTGGTCTGAGTATTACAGAAACTCCTGATCTACTGGGATTTTCATGCCCAACCATCTTTAAGGTTTATAGAGTGTAATCCGAAAAAGTGAACCTATCCAATGACCTGCAGTTCTGTGCCTTGTTGAAGTCAGAGGAGAACGGCCAGACTGGTTCAAGCTGATTGAAAGGCAACAGTAACTCAAATGACCACTTGTTGCATGAAAACATGAAAGCATGGATCCATCCTGCCTTGTATCAATGGTTCAGGCTGCTGCTGGTGGTGTAATGGTGTGGTGGATATTTACTTGGCACACTTTGGGGCCTTTAAAACCAACTGAGCACTATTTAAACACATCAGTCTGAGTGTTGTTGCTGACCATGTCCATCCTTTTATAAGCAGTGAACCCATCTTGTGATGGCTACATCTAGCCACAAAACACCATCAAATCATGTCAAACTGGCTTCTTGAACATGACAATGAGTTCATTATTCTCGAATGGCCTCACCAGATCTCAATCCAGTAGAGCACCTTTAAGATTTGGTGGAACGGGAGATTCACATCATGGATGTGCAGGCAACAAATCTGCATCAACTGTGTGATGATATCATGTCAATATCAACCAAAATCTTAGAGGAACGTTTGCAGCACCTTAAATCTATGCCATGAAGAATGGTGGCAGTTCTGAAGGCAACCCAGCACTAGGTATAGGTGTACCTTATAAAGTGGCCAGTGAGTGTATTTTCATGCTTTACCAATGGAGACAATGGGGGAATCAGTACCTGTATGGCCAAAGACAAAAACACAATAGCATACACAAGGTGAAAATATTTGATGTTGAAGAAAATCCTGAGTAATCATCCCCAAATTGTTTCTATTTTGGTTGGACAGGTAAGGGAATTAATTATTGTGTAGATCGCTCTCTGAAAGCCATCAAAACACACATAAACATAAATACATGGTAAAATACCGTTACATAAAACTCAAGAGACAATCAGGCTGAGCCAAGTTACTGTAACATCAGTACAGTGGTGCTATTGGTACTTAAAGTACACAACAAACAGCGATCTAACACTATAGCTAAAATACTGACTAAACCTTAAATCTAGCATTTACTATTTACTGTACTGCAGTTCATTTAATTATCAACTGCTAGATCAGCGTCTTTATATGACAGCGTATTTTTTATTTTATATGAAAATATGACAAGGTGGGTCTCACCTTCAAACCTTTACAGTCGGAAGGACTAAAAGACTGTTCAATTTCTACGTGAATCATGGGTACGAAAAAAAAAAAACAATGTAAACGGAAAGAAATATATATTTCATTTTAAAAAATATATTGCTGCCCTTTCGGTTCATTTAAATCGTGCATTCAGATAAAATACTTGTACATGTTAGAATACACATATCTATGATACACATTTGATTTTTAATAAG